TGAGCATTCATGCATGTGAGAGTGGGTGTGTACTTGCTCTAGTAAGCATGTGCAGATCAGAGTACCACCTTGGGTGCCGCTCCTCAGCTCCCTTGTTGAGGCAGGGTTTCTCAGTATACCAGGCTTGCCATCCCAGGAGCTTTTGGGGTTCTTCTTTCTCCACCTCCCATCCCACTGTGGGAACCCTGGGGTTACAGATACGCCTGACAAGGTCCAGGCTCATGTGGGTTCTGGGATTCAAATTCATCTCTTCATGCTTACACAGTAAGTGCTTTTAACATACTGAGCCATCTCCCTAACCCAGGAACACATTCTGACTTAAAGAATGACCAGTGAAGAAACAATGGCTACCCTGTGGTTTTGGTGAATTTTTTTTTTTTTTTAAAGTAAATGATGGGAACTGTCACTTCCAGGAAAACAGCTGACTATATTTGTTGCTCAATGATAAAATGAGCTTTCATGTTAAACAGAATTTGGATAAAAGAGCTTGTACTGTGTCCCCATACATACCGGTGTTGATGAGAAAACTGGTGGAATTAATATGGTGCTTGGTACTGTGTAATAAAATGTGTCAGCATAGCTGGGTGGTGGTGGTACACGCCTTTAATCCCAGCACTCAGGAGGCAGAGGCAGGCGGATCTCTGTGAGTTTGAGGCCAGCCTGGTCTACAGAGCAAGTTCCAAGACAGCCAGGGGTACAAAGAAACACCGTCTTGAGAAAAAAAAAAAAAGTCAGCATATAAAAGTATGTGATTTGATGAGCCATTTTTTTTCAAATGATCAAGCTATGATGGTACATATTCACAACTGGATAAAAAACTCAATTAAAATGCAAGACTGAGGACTTTAAATAAATATTTAATTTTTAAAATGTTTTATTAATGAATATTTAGTATTTTTTGTTGTTGTTTGTTTTGTTTTGTTTTGTTTTTTTAGATATATGAGTGCTTTCATGTATGTCTGTGCACCATGGGCATACAATGCCCAAGGATGCCAGGAGAGGGAGTCAGATCCTATGGAGCTGAAGTTACAGATGGTTGTCTGGGTCCTCTGCAAAATCAGCAAGTGCTCTTAACTGTTAAGCTATCTACCAGTTCCCCAATTTTTTTTCCAAGCTAGTCAAGTAGGGGGTCTGGGAGCTGAAAAGATTTAGTTTCAATCATTTCTATATTTGTGTGTCTATGTGTATGTGTACATGAATGCAGATACCCATGAATGTCAGAAGTGGGCGTCAAATACCCTGGACTGGAGTTACAGGCAGTTGTGAGACATGCAACATTAGTGCTACATCTTTTGTTTTCTCGAGACAAATTTCTTTGTGTAGCTTTGTAGACCAGGCTTAACTCGAACTCACAGAGATGCACCTGCCTCTGCCTCCTGAGTGCTGGGATTAAAGGTTTATGCCGCTACTGCCAGGCACTGTACAAGATCTTAACTGCTCAGCAATCTATCTATTTCAAGACCAAGGAATTCAAATTCATATTGTGATGCTATTTTTTGTTTGTTTGTTTGGTTTCATTTTTTTGAGGCAGGAGCTCACGATGTAGCTATAGATGGCTTAGAACTCATAGAGATCTGCCTGCCACCTGCCTCTGCCTCATGCTAGGGTTAAAGGTTTGCACCACCACAGATGGGGCTGTGATAGTGTTTAGAGATGTGATTGTGTCACAAGATGATAACACTTGAGCAAGTAAATTTTTGTCACTATTCCATGAACAACCCACAGTATCGTCGATGCCTTGGAGCATTTATTCTACTTTCAGCTGTCACTGTTATTATAATTAAAATGTATGTGCATGCACTGCCCCTGTCATTATGTACATTCAAGCACATTACAAAGTAACAGGAGTGAATGTTTGGAGAAAGAGACTAAGCAACTGGTAGTGTCTGGTGTAGGTACTTGACAAAAGAACATGGAGACCTTAATGGGAAGTAAAGGAAATGAAATGGCATATTTCAGGCAGTGAATGTAGTTCAGTTGGTAGTGTGTTCACACAGAGCCCTGTGCGCTATTCCCAGCAACACATGAAACAGGTATGATGGTGCACACCTTTAATTCTAGCATTCAGGAGGTGGAGCCCGGAGACTCAGAAGGCCAAGGTTATTCTTGGCTACATAGTGAGTACCCCACCTTGGGTACCAACTTCAAGACCCTGTCTCCAAAAAAAAAAAAAAAAAAAAAAAAGAGGAAAGAAAGTGAAAGGAGCAGGCAAAAGCCCCTTGGCCTGAAGATTCCCAAACCCTAGAGGAGCTAAGAACTTTCCAATGGCTGATCAACCTCCTTCTTAAACAATAGAAATAGTCTGTTGTGCCCATAGTTCTCTAAGACGTTATGGCTGTTCCTAACAACAGAAAGAACAAATAAGTCCGATTGGTTGGACTGAAAAGCTCACACTCTATGTTAGTTGTCAGTGATGGAACACACAAGGAAAAACTCTTGTCTTTGATTCCTATGGGTGAAAAATATAACTGTAACTTGGCATAGCTTTTTGTGCGGGGCTGCCAGGAAAAGCAAGGCTCCCGAGTTCTTGTCCTGCAGCCCTGATTGACCAGTGACCTGCTTATTTGGTGATTTATTAAAGACTTTGGACCATAGGTGTTGTCTTGCTCCTTCCTTGTGGCTCACAACTGACTAGAATAACAAAAGGAAAAAAGAAAGAAAGGAAAGGAGGAAAGAAAGAATTGTATGTCAGCCAAAATATGCGCTGTGTTTTCAAACCCTTCCTCTGTATGCTTCCTGTATTCCTACGGGAGAAAGTAATAGAAAACAGTGCTTTGAAGTTTGTGAGTTCTTTAGAAACAGCACATACAGAGTGCTCATTTGGTGGGGTTATCATAACGAGAGTGTTTGACCTTTTTGTAGCTCCCAGTTTTGTCTCATGATATGCATAGTTTTTACAAAAAATAGTTTCTGTTTTTGGGTAGAGGTGTGTGAGGTGCTGGGAATCAAGCCCAAGGTCTTTACAAGCTAGCAAGTGTTCTATTGAACTACACCTCCAGCTTAAATAGGAGCACACTTGACAGGTTGTTATATAATTCCTGCTTCCCCCCCCTTTCATTTCTCAGTGAATTAGACATCTCCGTCATGTGATCAATGCACACCATTTTCAGTGTCTCTTTCAGTTCTATTTGTATATAACTACAATTTATTTGATCCACATAGTCAAAGATCTAGCTTGTTTTCAATGTTTTGAAAATATGATACATACTCTCTTTAGACCATTGTATATTGTGTGTGTGTGTGTGTGTGTGTGTGTGGTGTGTGGTGTGTGTGTGTGTGTGTGGTGTGTGTGTGTGGTGTGTGTGTGTGTGGTGTGTGTGTGTGTGTGTGTGGTGTGTGTGTGTGTGTGTGTGTGTGTGTGCACTCACCAATGTGCCACATTGTGCATGTGGAGGTCAGAAGACAACTTGTGGGAGACAGTTCCCTTCTTCCACCTTGTGGGGAACGAGGGACAAGGGATGTAGCTCAGATTGTTAGGTTTAGTGGCAAACACCTTTACCCTCTAAGCCATTTTGTCAGCCCTGTTTTTGTTGTTGGTTTGTGTTTGTTGCTGGTTGTTTGTTGTTTTTGATTTTCTGTGTCCGGATTGGCCCTAAACTAAGCCTCCACCTCTACTTCTGAGCACTGGGATTACTTCTGTGCTTTTCCTCCTCCTCCCCACACTTCAGAAACAGTTTGTGTATACTTTACACAGAGTCAAAATTTTCATTATTTACAAATGTTTAAGGTTTTTTGTTTTGTTTTGTTTTGTTTTCTTAGAGACAGAGTTTCTCTGTTCGGGAACTGTCTGTGGACCAGCCTCTGCCTCCCCAGTGCTGGGATTAAAGGCATGTGCCACCATCATCCCACAATTTTTAAGATGTTAGGTGTGAGCCTGGTGTTGGTGCCTCACGCCTTTAATCCTAGAACTCTGGAGACAGAGGCAGGCAGATCTCAGTGAGTTCAAGGCCAGGCTTGTTCTACAGAGCTAGTTCCAGGGCAGACTCCAAAGCAATGCAGAGAAATCCTGTCTCGAAAAACCAAAAAAAAAAAAAAAAAGTTAGGTGCATGAATGCTTTTGAATGCTTTGCCTATATGTATATATGTGGTGCACCATATACATGCAGTACTCACAGAAGTGTCCAGTACTGAAATAGTCATATAGGCATGATACTGTTCACATAATCCCATAGATGAAAGCTGAAACAGCAAGATTGTTAAATTTGCTTTCCTATTGGCCAAAAGTGCTTTATTCATTAAGAAATAAGAGAAACATATTTACAGAATGACATCTCCCATCACAGCCTAGACTTGGTAATAAGACCCTGTCTCAAACCAACATGGGGGTTATTTGTGCCAGCCCTTCCAAAAATAACTATAAAGCCGAGAAGTTAATGAAATGGTGGTTTGGTTTTGTTTGTGGTTTGTGTGTGTGGTGGGGGTTGGTTTTCCTAAAACAAGGTCTCACTATGTAGCCCTGGCTGGCCTGAAACTCTCTGTCCTCAGAGATCTGCCTGCTTCTACCTCCCGACTTGCTCCGATTAAAGGTTGCACTACTACGCCAGAAAGATGTGTGGTCTTTAAGTGGTCGATAGATACTAAGGTTGATATCTGCTTTAATGTACGTGTTTTGTAGTTGAATTTTAATGGATTACTCGTGAATTTTTTTTAAAGATTTATTTATTTATTATGTATACAGTGGTCTGCCTGTACGGCAGAAGATCGAATTTGTGAGCCATCATGTGGGCGCTGGGAATTGAACTCAGGACCTCTGGAAGAGCAGCCAGTGCTCTTAACCGCGGAACCATCTCTCCAGGCCACTCGTCAAGTTTCTAAAACCAAGGTTTTTAAATCGCATACAAGGAGGAAATAGATTGCACTCTCTCTGGGAGCAGAACACAGTCCACAGTTAACTTGGAAAGTATTCCCTGTCCAACACACAAGGCGCAGACTTCCCATAGTCCATAGCAGCGCGGCTCGGAGGCGTATGGGAATTGTAGTTCTGCGACCGGCGTTCACTGCTCCGAGGACTCTGGGTAGGGCCGCCCGCTCTCCAGTCTGCGCGCTTGCGCGAATGCACTGGCGGTCGCGGTTCCCCACCTGCAGTCGCGAGTGGGTGACAGGGCCCCCTTCTCCACGAGCTTCGTGACCCGGAACCGCGAGTGGAGGCTAAGCCTTCAGGTATGTCTACAAGGCCTGGGATGCGCGGGCCCGAGAGAAGGGTCGTGTCCGTGTCAGGGTGGGAGCGTCGCGGGCCATAGCGACCCCCGGGCGGGGGTTCGGGCCTCGAGCCCTTCTGAGTTGGTCCCTGTGGGCTGCACCCGGCGAACGAGTGCCGGGTCGGAGAAGGACGGGCAGGTGCCGGGCTCCAGCTTCCCTTTGTCAGGAGACGCGCCTTTCCCGAGCATCGCTGGGCTCAGGCCACCCGGGAACGAGTCCGGGAGCCCTGCAAGCGCGATCGTGACCCTCCACGAGGCTGTGGGGGCAGGTCAGCTGGCCACGCCCCCTACCATCTTACCGGGCTCCAAGAGCCTCCTGGAGTCCCTCATGATGCCTGGTGTTTCCAGTTGCATCCTCACGGAATAATTGCGTCTACCCGTTACTTCCGGTTTCAGTCCCAGTGTGAAGACTTTTCGGTTTTTTTTTTTTTTTTTTTTTTTTTTTTTTCTAAGATTGGTTTTTCTGGGTAGCTCAGGTTAGCCTGGAGCTTGCCATGTAGCCCAGGCTGACCTCGAACTCAAGATCTGTACAAGCCTAGCTTCACCTGTTCTTGATTAGAGTTACCGTTTTTTACTTTTTTTTTTTTTTTTTAAGTTTTCACACAGGTCTATGCGGTATATTACGCATACACCCTCCATATGTCCCTATTGCTTTTGTTCAACCCTCCCTTCCCCTTGTTCCCTTTCCCCCCAGTTTCATTTCTTTACATGATTTTATGCATCGCTATAAAAATCTAGGAACCACAAGTCAGAGGAAACATGATATTTGAGAGCAATTTGTTTAATATGATTATATCCAGTATCATCCATTTTCCTGCAAATGACAAGACTTCCTTCCTCTTTATGGTTGAAAAAATTCTGCTGGGTTAGTGAGAGGGATCAGTAGGTAAAGGCACCTCCCACTAGTGCTGGGAATCAGGGTTTGAATCCTGGAACCCATATAGTAGGAGAGAACTGGAGAACTGAACGTTGTTATCTCACTCATACGTGCACACATGTGCGTGAACATGGAAAAGTTTAAGAATTCCATTACAAGCCGGGCGGTAGTGGCACAGGCCTTTTGTTCCTGCACTCAGGAGGCAGAGGCAGGTCATCAGCTTGTGTTCGAGGCCAGCCTGGTCTACAGAGCGAGTTCCAGGACAAGCTCCAGAAAGCTACAGAGAAACCCTGTCTCAAACAAACAAACATAAAAATGAGTTAGAAAAAAAGGATTCCATTATATATGTATGTATGTCATGTTTTCTTTATCCATTCCTCTGTTGTTGAACACCTACCTGTGTTGGTTCATAACAACTATTTGTAAATAATGCTGCAAAGAAACAGTTGTGTGCAAGTGTGTCTGTGATGTGGGAATTTTTAGGTTACAAGCCTGGAAGTGGTATAGCCTAGTCACATGGAAGATCTGTCGTTAGTTTCTGGAGAAACCTCTTTACTGACGTCCATAGTGGCTGGACTGGTACATTCCCACTGGCCGAGTATAGGGTTCCATTTATCCACATTCTTGCCCACGTTTCTGGTTTTGTTTGTTTTTAATGACTGCTATTTTGACTAGGGTGAAATGGAATCTCAGTGTAGTTTGATTTGAGTATCTGTCGTGGCTAGTGGGGTTGAACACTTTCATTGGCCATTTGTATTTTATCTTTTTTTTTTTTTTTTAAAGATATGAGTGCTCTATCAGCATGTATGCCTGCAGGCCAGAAGAGGGCATCTGATCCCACTATAGACAGTGGTGAGCCACCATGTGGTTGCTGGGAATAGAACTCAAGACCTCTGAAAGGGCAGCCAGTGCTAACCACTGAGCCATCTCTACAGCCCTATATTTTTCTCTTCCAAGAGCCACTTATGTTAATTAAAGTTCTGGGAGGTGGAGATCTTGTCTCAAAGACTGGTCTGTTAGGACAGTCAGTATTCTATCTGGTTCAGCTGTCCCGGGCACCCACTTGTTGGCTTTCTCTGCCAGGTGTTTCCTTTGCTGGTGAAAGTTGTCTTCCAAGTGAGTAATGGCTGCACCTGAGGTAGCATCAATGCTTCTAGTAGGATAACGTCAGTTCCTTTGTTTCATAGGGAGCTTTTTGAGTATTAATAACCCTTTTTTTTTCAAATGGTTATGTGGGCATGTAGTACCAAAGGCCCACACATAGCTTAAATACTTAATTGCTGAAGTTGTAAAAGTTCAGTTAGGGCAGGAAGGATAGAAATGTGCTCAAAGGGGTCTGGAGAGATGGCTCAGCCGTTAAAGGCTAGGCTCACAACTGAAAATATAAGAAATGTGCTCAAAGGACCATGAGCTTTATGGATGTAAGGGCACGGCATGGTCTTAGCTCCCCCTTTCAAATTCTGATTTTTCTGTCACAAGGAGAAAAGTAGCATAATTTAAGGATTGGCAGATTAGGAGTTTTTTGATTGGTTGGTTGGTTTGCTTTTTTGAGACAGGTGTGTGTGTGTGTGTGTGTGTGTGTCTGTGTGTGTGTGTGTGTGTGTGTGTGTGTGTGTGTGTGTGTGTGTGTGTGTGTGTGTGTGTGTGTGTGTGTGTGTGTGTGTGTGTAGTCCTGGCTGTCCTGGAACTCACCGTGTAGACCAGGATTCAACAGAGATCCACCTGTCGCTGCCTCCCAAATGCTGGGATCAAAGATGTACACTACCACCTCTTGGCAGTTTGGCAGGTCAGGAGTGTCATAGCTGGGTGTGATGTTATTGAAAAGTTTCTACACCCTGTTAAGCCTCTCCACTGATGCAGCAATCCAAATCAGACCAAATCAGACTGAATTAGGAAAAGCCCATGTCTAATGGATACAATGCTCCTGGATGGCCTTCCAGTCCCCCAGAGAGATGGGAAAGAGAGACAGGACAGTTTAAATATCCTGTGGGAGTGGCCTTGAGTATCTGGGGGGGGGGTGTTTCATCATTTGGCAGGCTTTCTGAGATGCAGCAGGGTTTGGAGGGAGATAGGGGAGGGGGCTTGGGTGGAACTTCCTCCATAACATCCCAGACTCTGGATGCCAGGGGCTGGGGTGAAGCTTCCATCATAACATCCAGGCTCTGGATGTATGGATGTTGGTTCATGTCTGGCTTCTTCCTGCTGACAAGGGATGTGTGTGGGGAAGAGGGGAGTCAGGCATCAGTGGGATCACGCTCAGCAGGAGGTCTGAGTGAAGAAGCATCTGGTCAGGTGCCATCTTGTAGACCTCAGACACCTGTTCCTTGAGGAGGCAGAGAAGGCAGGCTCCTAGGAGAAACAAAATAGATTGTTATCATCTGCCTATGAATGGAGCTTGCTGTGGGAAGGGAGATAACTGCCAGAAAGAAGGGAATGGAGAAGTGTCCTGGTAGTACAGAAGAGGTTAGAGTGAATGAGTGAGGCAGAGCAGACATGTCCTTCATTGGGACATCCTGGGAAAACAGATTCCAGTTGTTGGGTGGAGAGGTGGTACTAATGGTGACGCCCCAGGAGCTGGTGTGGGTGCTGTTATCTGGAGGACCCTGTGGGCTGGCCTGTCAAAATAGGCTGTGGAAACTGTTGAGCTTGGGTTGAGGGATGGACCTTCGTGGTTGACTTCCCTCGTTCCCCTTGGGAAGAAGGCTTGGGCTTGGAGCATGGCCTTGTCTGTTGGGAGGACATTGAAAAATTTAAAAGCCATTTCCACCAATTCCTGTGAGGGAGTTTGGTGACCCCTCTTGGGCCTTTTAAATTGCTTTCTAATCAGTATCTGGTGCTAAGAAATGAAATGGGTGGCCAGGACCTTGGCTCCCAGTGGGGAGGCTAGGTCTCGTATAAGTCAGTGTGTAGATGAGGAGACAAGGAGGTGCCGTGGAAGGTAGGGGGAAAGGGAAGACAGGAAGGCGGGTAAGGAGGAAGAGGTGGATGGGGGGAGGGCTGAGAGGAGTGTGGGCCACTGAGTGAAACATGTGGCGGGGTGGCGCTGTTGGGGTTGGCAGGCAGAGTTGGGGGGCCAGCAAGGTCAGGGCAGGAATCTGGAGGTGCTGTGACCCTAGCCAACCAGACTAGTGCTGTGAGACACTGGCTACTAAAAGGGAAGGGAGGGAACGCAGTATCCAGAAACCGTGGACATATGGAGGTTCCGTTCATTGGTTCTCACGCCAGAAAAATTTCAAGATAGAGGGTGGAAAATTGCCCAGTTGAAAGCCGGTCTTAGCCTGGCAGAGAGCAGGTGTGGCGAGGGAAAACAGCCCCCTCAGTGGGACCTCCAGGTGAAAAGTTTCTACACCCTGATAAGCCTCTGCGACAATGCAACAATCCAAATCAGACCAAGGATACAAAGCTCCCAGATGGCCTTCCAGTCCCCATCCTGAAAGTCCTTCACACTCCCACTCAGGCGACACTCATGAGAAGCAGTCTCGATACAAATGAGGAATTTTTATTCCAAGTGCACTGGGGTCCACAGTCATACGCCACGCAGGGGTAGAGGACTGAGGACCTTGAGGGCAGAATTGAGCAGCTTTTATATGATTTACATCAAAGCTAACAAGGCCAGTTTCAAAGCTAGCCAGTTACTTTCACTAGGCCTAAAAGCAAGGTCATGCATGGGATAGTTCAAAACTTGGATGATTAGTAAGGTTTCCTAGGTTACAGAGATTTAGCACACCTGCAAGGTTAGGTTTTTTTTTTTTTTTTTTTTTTTTCTTTCTCAAGAACCAGCAGGCCTTGTCCTTGAGTGGCTGGGAGAAAGTATTTTCCAGTCAGGGAGTTATCTATATCTTATTGGCAGAAGCTCTTGTTTTCTCTGTTTTTCCCTTCTTGCTATGAGTCCCATATTTTAGTTATTAATTTTCTTTGTGGACAGGATGACCCATAACAGTTCCCAGACTGTTATTATGGATAACATTCTTCAGAAACTAGGTGATTAAGAATAACAATAATAATTTTCAGAAACCAGTCATTGTGACCAAGCTATTTCATGTGTTTTTCTTTTTCCTGAGCCTTGCATGTAGCTAAGATGATTT